CCATCTGGGTGATTCAGAGACTCTTGGATGCTCTGGAAGCCTATAGTTGTCAAGGTCTTCATATAGTTCAACATACCCCTTTGGCATCTGAATGAATGAGAATTAGGTATTTTGAAGATATGGTGGTCCCTATGGATTTATAAAGATTCAAATAGATCTGCTATAAAGTGTCAAGGTGTGTTTGTACCACCAGAGTATCCACAGGAATCATAAAGTCCTGGATGAACAGAGCATGCTCAAGAAAGCTGAGAATGCCAAGAAAGTTAAGATATTTGAGGACATTATATATCTGTGTGATACATATAATGTTGTATGTTATATAAGAATGGTTTCCTTGAGAGGCCAAGATTTCTTGATGATTTAAGATAATTATTGTGTGGACTCATGGGGTTCCATGTGTCAAAAGCTGTTCTGGGCTGTCTGTGTGTCAGGAATAGGGAGAGTGTGGCAATGATTGTAGTACCTGTTGAGAAGTCTGGGACTGTGAGAGAATACACTGGACACAAATGTCCTGTCATCAAGACATTCTGTGTACTAAGGTACACTGAATGATCAGGTGTCTTAGAAAATAAGATTATGTCTTTATATGATCAAAATATCTTATGGAGCTGGACAAGGTGTGGCATACCTGTAATCCCAGCTACTATAGAGATCGAGGCAAGAGGATCTTAAGTTCAAGGCCAGCTTAGGAGACTTAGTGAGAACCTGTCTGAAAATTGAAAGGACTGGAGATGTAACTCAGGGGTAGAGAATTTGCTTACATGTATGAGGCGCTGGGTTCAGTCCCTAGCACCACACACACACACACACACACACACACACACACACAGACCCATGGGCAGACCTTATAATCAGGGTATCTCCTAGACTGGGGTTGGGTATTGAGTGGTTTTTCAGTGGTGGTATATCTTGTACAAGAATAGTGTAGCTGGGAGTTCTAAATGGGCAAGAGGAATTTTGCTTTGATTGTCTGCCTTCTATCATGTCAAGGAATTTCTTATGGGGTCAAAAATTCCAACATCTCACCATGTCTTTGTGGTCTGTGTATCTTAGAGGGTCATGGAGTCATTCTGAGCTCAAACTTATGTGACCATAAGCAAATGAGGTCAAAGTTCCTTGGAAGCACATGTTCTCCTAAAATGAAAGCATCTTTTTTTGCCCTCAAAATTCAAGGATTTGACATGAACAGAATTATTCTTAGAGTTAGAATCCTTAGGAATTGTGGTGATGACGGTGATGATGGTGATGATGATGATGATGATAATTTTCAAGTTATAATTCTACATGCTTCCTTTTTATTAACTCAATCATCACAATTTCATGAGGTAAGTACACTCTACCTTCATTATTCATGGATTCCACATTTGTGAATTCACCTACTTACTAACATCTATTTGTGACTCCTAAATCCATTATTTTTTGCATTACTCTTTGGCATGTTGGTGGACATTTGCAGCCACATGCATGCCCAGAACACTGAAAACTGAATGGCCACATTCTTGTTTCAGTTCTCATAGGTTCTTTCCATGACATAGTTGGTGTCGTTTTTATATTTTTGTGCTCTCTGTTGGTGGTTTTGCAGTTTAAAATGGGCTCAAATGTGTTCTGAAATGCAGTCTACTGTTTTGAAGAGTAAGAAGGCTATGATGTGCCTTACAGAGAAAATGCAAGCATTAGATAAGCTTTGTTCAGGCATGATTTACAGTGCTGTTGACCATGAGTTTGATACTATCTTTCAAATATTGTTAATTCAAATAGAATTAAACATAATACAGAAACATATATAATACAAGGTTATATTTCAAACATAACACAGATTATAGCCTGACCCTCACTAAAGGGGGTATTCAATAATTCACATGGTGGCTTTGTGGAGCATAACTACTTCAGACAAAGAGAATTTACTAGATTGTTAACCACAGATGATGAAACTAGGACTTAGAAGTATTAGGCAATGAGTCCACAATCACATAAATCCTAGGCTGTATAGCTGGGATTTGAGCTCATGGCTCAAATCCACCATTCTACCTTATGTCAAATAAAAATATGCTGGGTTTCAGGTTTCCTTGCAAGTCAGGGTTGTGGATAGGAATATGGTGCCCTGGTATAACATATGCTTCTAAATTCTTGAGGAATTATGGTATCCTGTGATGTCCAGTCAAACATAGCATCTGGGTGTCCTTAGGGATCAAAGGTAGTAGTCAGAATTTCTTTGTAATACCAGAGTGTTCTGGAGCAACTGGTTGTCCTGGATGGTAGTCAGAGTGCTTGTGTAGGGTTAGGGTATCTTGAGGCACCAGAGTTCATTGTAATTTGGTGTTTTGTTGTGGGTCCAAGTTGATTGCATGCTACTGGGGTTTTGCAAGGGCTTCCATGGGGTTCAGGGTAGGAGATCTAATATACTTTATCTAGAACACAGTATATCCCAGGATATACTGGATGTTATGATTTGAATATGAAATATTCCCCCCAAAGGCTCATATGTTGAAGGCTTGTTCCCCAACAGAAATATTCACAGGTGAAGATATGTGGAAGTACTTGGATCATAAGGGTTCTGACCTTATCAATGGATTAATCCATCAAGAGATTTACAGCTAAATGGATTATTGGGAAGTAGTAGAAACTGTAGATGGTAGAACTTATTTGGCAGGAGTAGGTCCTTGGGAGCATGACCTTGGGGACTATATCTTGTCCCCAGTCCCTTCTTCTCCCTCTGCATTTCCCAACTGTCATGGGTTGAGCAGCTTTCCTCCACCATGCCATTCCACCATGATGTTCTGCCTCAATTCATGCCCAAAGCAATGCAGCCAGATAACTACAGACTAAGTCTATGAAGCCATGATCCAAAATATTCCTAGTCCAAAAAAATTCTTGTCCTCCTTTATTTTTTTACAGTATTTTGTTCACAATGTTGTGGAACTGAATATGCTAGGATATGGAAAGATGGGTTGGTGTCTTGGAGAAGGGCTTCTCGATTTTATTTTGTTATGTACTGAATGTTTGTGTCCCTCCCCCCCAAAAAAATAAGGGTGCACCTTAATTTGGTAGTATAATGATATTTGGAGGTGGAATTCTTTAGAGTTAATTAGATTTAGATGGGGTAATAAGGAGGAGGCCCCATGATGGCATTAGTTTCCTTCTGAGAAGAAGAAAGACTATAGCTGGTTCTCTCTCCACCAAGTAAAAACACAGTGAGAAATTAGCTATCTGCAAGCCAGGAAGAGAGACCTCAACTGGGGAACTAAACCGGCCATCTCCTTGATCTTGTACTTCTTCAGTCCCCAGAACTATGAGAAATAAATGTCTATTATTGAAGCTACCCAGTCTGTGGTATTTTGTTACAGCATCCCAACCTGCCTAAGACAAATATACATTCAGTTCTCCTGGGGATCTTGTTACAACACACATTCTGATTCAGTAGGTGGGACATGAGATTCTGCATTTCTAACAGGCTCCCATTTGCTGCTGATGATGATCTTTGGACCATATTATAAACATCAGGCTCTTAGAGGTTTATGATGTTTCCATTCTTGAATTGTCAAGAAGTTTTTAAAGGATGTGATTAAGGAGTTAGAGTGACCTTAGGGATCAAACCATAGGTACACAAGTTCCAAGAAAGTTAGTGTGTCATCAGGTCAATGTGTCCTAAGAGATCGGAACTTCATGTAACAGGGTGGGAATCACCTAGTAAAGGTGTAATGTCCTGGGTACAAGAGTGCCCTTAGGTTTCAGAGTGTCATGGAGGATCCTAAAGTCCTAGAATATCAGATTGTCCTTAAAGTATCAGGGTATACTGGGGATGACAGAATGTACTTCCAGGGTCTAAGCAACCTCAAGAGTCAGAGTACTATAGGGTTCAGGTGGTCCTGACTGCTCAGACATTTCAGCTATATCAGGGTTTCCTTAAAGACTCAGAATGCCAAAATTCATGGGAATCTGTTTATTGCAGAGTATCCTGAGGTTTGGGTAGGACAGAATGCTTCTGGAATTCACATGCGCTCAAGGATCAGTGTTTTTTTGAAAATCTCAGTGGCCTTGAAAGGTCTTGATGTCCTGAGATTTCTAGATGAATATGCAGGTGACTTTCAAAGGAAGAAATCAGAAAGTACATAAGAACATTGGTGCCCTGGAGATTTATCCTATGGATTGAGTTCAGATTGTTCTGAGAGGGTGGCCGGTATATTCTGGGATATTAGGGTACCAAGCATGCACTTGACTCTTCATTTTTTAGTTTCCTAGAAACAGGTCCTTGGGTATCACCTGCACACTGAGATGCCAGAGAGGCCCTGCCTCTTACCCCCTGGTTGTCCCCGCCTTCCTCCTCCCTCCCCACAGTGGGGTTCTGAGAAGGGGGACTTAGTAGGAATGTATTTTACCCTTCTTTCTCTGCCTGCTCCCAGGAGGGGATTTAACTGGACAAAAGATTCTGGTCCCCTGGGAATATGAGCTCTTGGCCCCAGTCCCTGGACCCTCCAACAGAACACCTTCCCTCATCCGGCTTGTGATCCTCCCCAGAGCAAGGGGGCTCTGGTGACCAGGTAATGATTGGATGGGCCCACAGGGGCCAGAAGGAGGTCACTCCTCCAAGACTCAAGGAGAGAGAGGTGGTGTGGGAAAATAGGCAGCTGAAAGAAGAGAGAGCAGCATCCTTGTGGAAAGAAGATCGAAAGAGAGAAAAAATAGAGAATCAGATGAAGGAGAGAGAGAGAGAGAGAGAGAGAGAGAGAGAGAGAGAGAAGGAGAGAGAGATGTGGGGAATGAGAATGAGGAATTAGAAAAAAAATAAAAGACAGTGAAGAGACATCTCTATATATACCTATATCTTTACACACACGCGCACGCACACACACACACACACACACACAGATCAGAGATTGTACAACAAAAGGAGGAGAGAGATCACGGACATAGAAGGGATCAACAGAAACGGAAAGACTGAGCTAGAATCAAAGATTCAGGGACACAGGAGACTGGACTGTCTTTGGTGTTGGTGTCTAATCATGGAAGCTGAAGGGAGGAGCCAGCAGGGGAAGCAAAGGAAGGGGCGAATTTGCAGCACCCTCTTACCTGAGAGATACCCAGCTGCAGGGACTCTGACCTCCACAGTGGGTGAGTGACTTCCCAGGCTGGGCTTGGGGCCCTGAGGTGGGCAACAGGTATGAGACTCATGTCTAGTCTCCTCTGAGGCAGTGGTTCACTATGGAGGAAGGCTGGGAGAAGAAATGAAAACCAGAATCCTAGCATATTAAAACCATGGGGTCCTTAAATAGAACTCCTTTGCTTCACAGGCAGAAATGAGGCCCTGGATTCTGGTGATGCAGAGGCATAGCTGGAGCCTATGCCTTCACTCCTAATCTCAGAGTTTGCCCCAGAACACTGCCTTCTGTAAGGGAGGGAGCTGGAGGGGCCGAGGCTTTGATCATGAGAGAGCAGTACAATACATGTAAGTCCCCAAGGGAGACAGTGAACACTGGGTGGGAGCCACACTTAGGTCCCCATGGGAATAGGTGTCTGCTCCAGACATCTCCTTTTCTCAGCCTGTACCTTCCCAGGTGTCTCCTCTTCCCTCTCTGTTCTCTCTTTCCCCGGCAGTTCTCAGACTAATTAATGTGGGGGCTTAGTGAGACTGCAGGGAGGAGAAGCGAGCCTTTCCCACGAGCTCAGGTTCCTGCAGCCTGGTGGCTGGGCCAGGGCAGGGGAAGGAGAAATGACAGAGAGTACATAAGTAAGGGGAGGGTATGCCTGAGTGACACAGTGGAGAATGCTTCATCTTCCCAGGCTGGGGTACAGGAGGATAAGAGCTGCATAAAGAAGTTTTAAGTTGAATGCAACTCATGAGAGCAGGAAACAAGCAAAGGGGACCTTCGATAGAGACCTAGAAAGTTGTTAGGGCATGAAAGCAAATAGAAGGCCCACAAGGTGTGCCCCAGGTGGGTGTGGAGTGTACTTGGAGGGGAAAGGCACAGGGAGGGGTAGTAACAGGGGGCTCAGATTGGGCATACAATGGAGTTGTCAGGTAGACAAAGTATGAATACCCAGGATGGAAAGTGGGTCTGAGAAGTAACCCTATGCAGACAACCCAGTCCCAGAAATATAGCAGCAACTGAGGCTAAGCTGGTCTAGGAATAGTGGTTATTAAAGAAGAAGGATTTCTGGTGTGAGCTGGGTTTCCCAAGGGGAATCAGCATAGGGGGCTTTGAGCAGAAAATAAGTGGTCCAGTGATGGATGGGTGATCCCACTCATAAGCAACGTCTCCCTCCTTTCTTCTCCCTCCTCAGACATGAGCACTCAGCCCTACAGAAGGCTCTCTGCCGTAGGAGTGGGGAGACCAAGACATTCTCCACAAGAAGGACAGAGGGGTCACTTGCACTCCCGGCGCCGCCACCGTACCACCTTCAGCCCAGCACAGTTGGAGCAGCTGGAATCAGCCTTTGGGAGGAATCAGTACCCAGACATCTGGGCCCGAGAGGGTCTCGCACGGGACACGGGCCTCAGTGAGGCCAGAATACAGGTGATACTTCAGGGTCCCTCCTACCTTGAGGAAAAAATGCAGATTCTCTTTAGTGCAGTGGGAGCTACCTGAGTATAGACAATCACTGGAACTAAACTTCACCCATCACTTAACACTTCCTCCTCTATACTGTGAATGTCACTCAAGTTTAACCCTAACTCTAAGATAATCTGACTTGAGTTACTACTCCCAACATTTAATAATGATGTGAACCCCAAAAGAAAAGCAATTCTAACTGTTCACAGACATGCACAACCTTGTCCCTTATCCCTAACCACAACCTTGCGATTCATCCAGCCTGAGGATGAATACTAGTCACAGAGTTAATTAACCTTAAGTCTAAATCCTCCCCTAAACCCAATCTTGTCTATAACAATTATATTTATCAATAGTCTTCATCTCTAAACTGAACCCTATGGAAGATTTCCCCAATATCTGGAGAGAGAAAATGTCACTATGTAATATTTATCCCTTTCTTGTTGGAAGGTGATTGTTCTTACTCATCCAAAGTTGTACAAATTGAGCAAATTTAGAGACAGGTTAGAGTTAAAAGTACAGTTTGTCAGCAGACCTAGGTCAGCCATGCCTCTAGTAGAACTTTTCTTCCTCTGGTGATGTGGGAGATGCTTACTCCCTGTACCTGAACCTCCTGTCCTTGGAAGAAGGGGATCATATGTGACAGTGCCATCTATTTGAAATAGAAGCTCTGATTTGGCTATTCTTTCTCAGGTCTGGTTCCAGAACCGCAGAGCTAAGCAACGGAAGCAAGAAAGATCATTGCTCCAGCCACTGGCCCATCTCTCGCCTGCCACCTTCTCTGGATTCTTGCCAGAGTCCCCTGCTTGTCCCTATTCCTACACAACACCACCTCCAACAGTAACCTGCTTCCCTCACCCCTATAACCATGCCCTTCCCTCACAACCCTCCACAGGTGGTTCATTTTCTCTACCCCACCAGACTGAGGACTGGTATGCCACTTTGCACCCAACAGCCACTGGTCATCTGCCCTGTCCCCCACCTCCATCTGTGCTCCCTCTCAGCCTTGAGCCACCAAAGTCCTGGAACTAGAGTCAAACTAGTAAATAAGGTCATCTCTAGCCTATGGCCCTCATAAAACAGAAAATTGGGTGGCTTCCTTCCCTTCTAAGGGTGATACAAATCTGTGTATTTGTATATGTATATGATAAGGGGCAGCTCAGAGTTTGGAAATATTTTAAAATGGGAAATATTTCTGGGCATGGTGGAGTATACCTGTAATCCCAGTGATAGGAGGCTGAGGCAAGAGAATTGCAAGTTCAAAGCCAGCCTCAGCAACTTACCAAGGCCCTAAGCAACTTGGTGAAACGCTGTCTCAAAATAAAAGATAAAAAGGCCTGTGGATGTGGCTCAGTGATTAAATGCCCTGGTTTAATCTCCAGAACCAAAACAATTGTTTTTGATGAATTCTCACTCAGGTGATGAGTTGAGAAAATTTGGGGAGGTGAACTTCCAAGAGATATAGGTTAAAAAGCTTCAGTGGAGGTGACTAGTGGAAGGGTGATATTGATGGAGAAAAATGGTTGCTGCTGTTGAATGGGGATGGTTGAACGAGGTAGAACTTGAGGGGCTTCATTCATTGAGGTCCTGATTGAAGAACTTCATCCAGCTGTCTCTAGCCGATTTTTTGGAGCAGGAGGCAGTACTGGGGATTGAACTAAGGGGCACTCAACCACTGAGCCACATCCCCAGCCCAATTTTGCATTTTTATTGAGAAGCAGAGTCTCACTGAGTTGCTAGCACCTCGCCATTGCTGAGGCTGGTTTTGAACTCACAATCCTCCTGCCTCAGCCTCCCAAGCTGCTGGGATTACAGGCAAAAGAGCCACTGCACCTGGCTCTAGCTGATTTTAATAAGCCTTTTGATTTAAATTCTACCTAGACCCCCCCTTCCCCATCACCATCACTCACGACCCCATTCACTTTGGTAGATTCTGTTCTAGAACTATCTCCTGAGTTGGTCCCTCTTCTTCCCATGCCAACAGACCCTCTGCTTTTCCTGGCACTGTATTTTGTGACTTCCCATCTTCATTGCTTCCTTCAGCTCCAGTCTTTCCCATCTCCAAGAGACCTTTGCAAATATGAACGTCAAGGAATGGCTCTCCAATATCTAATAAGAAATTCATTAATAAGATCTGACTAGCTTAGCCTACAGGAGCCTTCAACCTAATTTTTAAATCAGTTGCATGTTTTCACATATGTGGTTTGGATAGAGAAGAAGTACTCTGATTGAAGGCAAATTTGTCCAAGAACAAACCATCTGAGGCTCATACCATATCATTCCTAGGAAAGGACCTGCCAAAAAGTGCCTTGATCTGAGCTCCTCCCAAAAGAATCATGATGTAGCCTGGTTGGTCCTACAGTTTCTATACCATATTGCCTAAAATATACTTGTTTTTACTTGTAATTCACTTATTTATGTGTTGGCTTACCTCCCTTATTGGCAGGTCCACAGAAGGATATTTAGTAGTCAGGCTTCTAGTGATGGAAACTCATGTAGTTTGTAGTTTTTTTATATATGAGAAGTCTGAAATCAAAATTCCTATACTAAACATTTGCATTCTTTTCTAATTATCTCTTTGTGCCAGACGGCCTTCCAGAAAGATAGTACAGTCAGGTCTTTATATTTGTAGGTTCTGCATCCCAGAGTTAACCAACTGCAAATCAAAAATATTCCCCCCAAAATTGCATCTGTACTGAGCGTGTACCAACTTTTTATTGGCATTATTTCCTAAACAATACAGTATAACAAGTATTTACATAGCATTGCATTAGTTATTTAAAAGAATATAGAGATGATTTTATGTATACTGGGATGTATGCATAGACATATAACATTTTGTATCAGGGACTTGAGCATCCTTGGGTTTCAGTATCTGCAGAAGGTTGTTGAACGAGTCCCCCCCATCCTGAGGGATGGCTCTACTAGTTTTCATTCTACCAAAAGAACCTGGATGGTTAGTTTGGGTGCATCCTTGTTGACTTTTATGACTTCTGACAATTTGTTAACTGAGAGTGATGGCTCCTTGTTGCTTATTTTTAAATTTTCATTACTTGCTAGTGGGAGTTAAAATAGTTTTGTGTTTATTAGAAATGTATAAGTTTTCTTTTCTGCATTACCTCTGAATTATCTGTGGCTCTGTATATTAATGTAATCACCTTTTAGTCATGCTTGAGATATTGTGTATTAGGGGTATGAACATATGTTTGCGGGTGTTACAACTACCTTTCATGAATTGTCATTTGTTTTTAGCCTTTCTCAAAAAGAGTTTCCTTGAGAGAACTGAACCCCAATTCCTTAGACACTGTATTAATGCATTAACTTCTGCCTTAAATATATAGAATGATACCAATTTCATAGAATTTAGTCTTTCAGTTCATTTCTGTGTTCTATGGGTCATAAGACAGAACGAACATAGGAAGAAATAAAAAAATGTTGGGAGATTCTGGCTAAAGTGACCTACCGGGATTCTTACCAGATTGCTCAGATGTCACCTAGGGTATGGTACAGTATGAAAAACCATATTGGATATTGAGATCGGTCAGATATGAAGGATTGGGATTCTGGATAAACCAAGGATTTTTTAGAAGGATTCTTGCTAAAATTAGACAACACAGAGATGAAGGTGGAAATACAAAATTCAAGACCTGGTTAAAAAAGAAGAGTTCAGGGGAACCTGAGTTGAATTTGGTGGAGTGTAAAATCTTTGTCCCTTTAATATGTGATGTGATTTTCGCCTGCTAAAGGTTTTAGGATCCTCTCTTCTTTGATCCTGGTGTTTTGTTTTTCACAGTGACTGACAGTGTGAAAACACCTCTCTATATTCATTTCTGCCACTTAATGAATGGATTCTATCATTCCACTGATTCTTGAAGGATAGTAGAATATGCTGCCCCCAAATATGCCACTTCTGTATAAGGATTATTTTGAGCTGAAGGCAACTGAGATGAAGTAGACACAGAATAAGCTCTCTGCCCTCCCCAAACTTGCCAAAAAGGAGGACATGCATGACTAAGGCTGTCCTCCCTCCCCTCTGTACCAGAAAGGACAGAAATCAATCACTGTAGAAAATTCTAGGTCCTTATGAACCCAGACACAGAGCCATAGGAGTTTACATAACAAACCTGCTAACTAGATCTTCTTTCCCCTTGTTTCTTCATATGTTTGCCTTGTCCTTGGAAGAACAACACACAGTCCTTCAGTATTAATGTTAGCCTAGGATTTTTGTAGGTGTCCTTTGTCAATTTGAGGCAGCTGTCCTTCTTAACTTGTTGAAAGTTTGGTCCTAAATGGATGTCAGATTCTGTCAAATGCTTTTTCTGTGTCAATTAATATGATAGATTAAATTTTCCCCAAAATTGTTATTATTATGAGTTACATGGACTGATTTTCAAATGTTGAACCAAGATTACACACCTGCAATAAATCCAACTTGGGCATGATATATAATTCTTTTTATGCATTGCTGTTGTGAAGATGTTTGTTTCTAAGTTCAGGAAATATATTAGTCTAATATAAATATATTAGTCTATATATTAGTCTATATAGGTTTTCTTTTGTTGGGGTTTGTGTTGTTGTTGTTGTTCTTGGGTTTTGGTATCAGGACAATAATAGCCTTGTAAAATCTTTTGGTAAGTATCATTATTTTCCCTTCATTTGGTCTTGAGATCTCTTAGGAGAGTGGCTGTAAACTTTAATCTTGCCCTGATGGGACTCCAGGGTTGTTTACAGAAAACCTTTCATGGGATGCATCTTTTTCCTATTGGACAGCATTATGCCTAAGTGTCCAATCCCTGACCAGGTATTCCTCTCACAGGAAACTGGTTTTATACTGGCAGATGCCCTTTGGCTCTTGTCAGACCTGTGTCCAGTTTATTCCTATCAAGACAGCCGCTGTCTAGGAGAGCCCTCACCAGGAGGGAACTTAGGTTTGGATGTGTTAATGGGTGAGACATACAACAGACAGCCGGACATTTGAAATAACAGAAGCAACATGTTATTTACAGATCCTAAAAATAGGATCACAACTTACAGGCCCAATAGGAAGTGAGGAGCCCTCTGGGACACACATACTGTACAATAGATTGGGAACAAGATAGAGAAAAGGACTTGTGGATTAAAGGCTTTATTGGAGTCCAGGGAATTACCCAAGCAGGTTTCCATCTGGAAATTCTAATTGGTGGATCTGCAACAAGCAGGCACAAGTCACACTGTGATTCCAGGTGGTCACTAGGAATGTGGGAGTTAGAGGAGAGAGTCAAGTGGGTTGTTTCTAATTGTTAGTTACATGGGGAGGTGGTCACCAGGGGTGAGGGTGGTTGTATAAGGGGGATATGCATATTGATCATGTTGAAAAACCAGGAGGAGGTAGAGAACTAGAACCTACATCAATGGTGACTAAGTGCTGCTTCTGAAATGATAAAGTCCAATTCATATTAAAACAGATGCCAAAGCAACATAAAATTATAAAGAGCTCACTAGTAGTGTTCCTACTTCTTATTTTTCTGAAATAGATTTTGTAACTTTGGTGTTAGATCTTTAATCACTTGTTATAACTCTGCAGTAAAACTATCTGGCCTCAGGATTTCCTTTTCAGAAGCTTTTTTCAATTATGAATTCAATTTATTACCTTTTTATAGACTATTCATATTACCTATTTAATCCTGATTAAGTCTTGGGAGTGTGTGGGTTTTAAGGAAATCATTCATTTCCTCTAAGCTGCTGATCTACAAGTATGAAGCTGATTGTGGTACATACTTCCTTGTTATTTTTCTAAATTGCTAAAGGGTCAGTATTGATATCTCCTATTTCTTTTCTGATGTCAGTGACTTCCGTCTTCTCTCTTTGTTTTGTCCATTCTAGAAATGTATCAATTTTGTTAATTTTGGAAAGAACCAGTTTTTTGTTTTGTTGGTTTTCTCTAATTTTCTATTTTTTTTTTTACTTCATTGATTTTTGCTCTTCATTATTTCTTTCCTTTTTCTTGTTTTGGGCTTTATTTTGTTCTTGTTTCACTAATTTTCTAGATAGAA